GTGTGTGTGTGTGTGTGTGTGTGTGTGTGTGTGTGTGTGTGTGTGGGGACACGTTTTTGCTACATTGTGAGAACCATTTTCCAGGAAAAGGCAGCCTTGTGGGGACCGAATGTGCACCATGGGGACCAATGCTGGCTCCCCACCAGTATGGATGCCAATTATGGGTGGGGGGTTTGGTTTAGGACCAAGGTGTGAGGTGAGTTTGGGTTAGTTTTAGGGTCATGTAGGTACATGAGAGGTTAATTTGAGGGTAAATGGTAATAGTTAGGCTATAAAATGATCAGAAAATGAATGGGAGTCAATCCATGGTCCCCACAGGGATATAAAAACAAACCTGTGTGTGTGTGTGTGCATGGTGAGTAAGTTAAATCATTGTGCAGAAATTGTGGCAAATGTATGTATGCATTAACGTTATGTATTATGGTGAATCTTAAATAAAACCATTAAAGACCGTTTTTTAAGGGGATGCATATTTCCTTCCATTTTTCACGTGAGGGATTCAAACCACCTTATGACGATGATGATGAGGAGGAGGATCAAAGGTGCACGAAGTCACACCTATCTGTAAAACTGACAGTTCTCCAGTTTTTGTTTGCTAAGGTTTGTTAGGTGTGGCGGCCATTTGTGAACCAGGTTGCATGGAAAAGTTAGTCAGTTGTAGACGTTCATCTGCTTTCTGAATTCAGAATAAATTCTGTCCATTGGTTTGTGGGATATTTTATCAGCAGACCATTTATGCAAACTAATTAAAAGCCAGCCTACTTTTCATGGCAATCGTTAAAAAAAAGGTCAAGCCTGGATCAGCATGAACAAGGCTACCAGACTCAGACCTGGGTCTCACACCTTACCGAGAAAAGCCATAGTGTCCTGACCAGTTTTTCTTGCTGCTCAGCGTGTAACATGGACTGAGTGGGGCTGGCTCACTTGCCATGAGTTAATAATGTCTTAGTGTGTTTGAAGGTGTGAGACTTGAGGCGTAACCTCTCCAGCTGACCAATTTGACTGGAGCTCAGAAGCTCCTAATCCTGCTGTGTGTTTTCATCAAACATCCCAAACCATGTTGGGAAGTCAGATGTGTCATTATTATTATTATTTATCTTAAACTTACTTTTGAAACTTTATCATTAAATAAACAAGAATTACAACTAGAAGCCAGTCCTTTTAAGTAGAGCTGTTTTTTCTTTTTAAATTTTGTATTTTATGATATTTAAAGTCTCAGTTATGAAATATAGAAAGCTGCATATTTTAATGTATTTATGCATTTTGCTTTTATACTGCAGAGATTTCTGACTAAAGCTCTGCAAAAACACAACAGGTGGCACAGAAATATACTTCAATTTCTTTTGTTATTACTTTAATGAACTACAGAAGGAGCTGAGATGAAGCCTGGATGGTTGAGCTAGGTCTACATCTCCCTCATGTGGACTGCAGAGGAATATTTTTTATTCAGTGTCGCTGACTGGATGTCTCATTCATAATGAGCAGGGATGTCCAGTCCTCCT